GAGGGAACCTTACACATGACCTATCTAGTCTGACTCCTTTATTTTACAGATGGGAAGGCAGCATAAGGAGTAAGGGGCAGAACCATGCTGGGGCTCCTGCTGCCTAGGCCAGGGCTTCTCCCAGAATTCCCCTCACATGGTCTCTCTTGTGAAAGGACATAAGGAAGGCCCAGGCTCAGCTGGTGGGAATCGGGAAGCCCTTCTAGGCAGCTCAGCTGCGGAGTTGTTCCCCTTCTGGACATGAATCACAGACTCCCCAAGTGGGGCCTCCCTAGTCAGCAGAAGGGCCTCCCTTCTCCACCACCCCCCTGCTCCCTGCCTGGGGGAATAGGAGTAGGAACTTGGGAGATTATCAGGGGCCCCCAGCTCAGGCTGCCTCACCAAAGAATGCACTCAGACCCCTGTGCTGGGGAGGGGGTGGGCGGTGCAGAGGCAGGCCTGCTAGTCAGTGGTTTACAAAAAAAGGCCCAAGACTCTCCTGCTCCGCTGGCCCACTGCCACGGCCAGACTACTGGGTGTAATCAACACCTGCCAATCGGCTACTCTCTGAGAGGGGCAAAGGGCAATATTTGGAGCAAGGCCGCTGAGTACTTGGATCTGACAGGGTCCCCACAGGGACTATGGGCCATAGTCACTGGAGAGAGATCATTTGCTCTTGAGTTTGGGAGATTGAAGTGACCCTAGAGACTGTGTGTTTGGGGAGAAGCAGAAATCCTGTCCAGTCCCTCTTATGTGAGAGGAAAGGGCCTAAAGAAGCCTAAGGCCAGCCTTCTTCCCACATGGACTGAGGGGTGCCTGGGGCCTTGTTATTGACATAAGTCCATCCCTTCCACATCCTAATCTAGAAGTTTTGTTGTCCTGGACCCCTTTGTCAGTCTGAGGAAGCCTAGTACACTGGCATCTTGAAGGAAACTAATTATATTGATATTGAAGTCAAAATAGGTACATGATTTGGATATAAAGACTGATAACTATAAGCAAACTAGAAGAGCAAAGAATAGTTTACCTGTCAGATTTATGGAGAACAGAAGAATTTATGACCAAACAAGAGATAGAAAACATTATGAAATGCAAAATGGATCATTTTGATTACATTAAATTGGGAAAGTTTCTGCACAAACAAAGCCAATGCATCCAAGATTAGGAGGGAAGCAGAAAACTAGGAAAGAATTTTTACAGCCAGTGCCTCTGATAAAGGCCTCGTTTCTAAAATATATAGAGAACTGAGTCAAATTTATAAGAATGCAAGTCATTCTCCAATTGATAAATGGTCAAAGGATACAAACAGGAAGTTTTCAGAGAAAGAAACTAAAGCTATCTATAATCATATGAAAAAATGTTCTAAATCACTATTGATTAGAGAAATGCAAATCAAAATGACTCTGAGATACCACGTCACACCCATCACATTGGCTAACATGACAAAACAGGACAATGATAAATATTGGAGAAGATGTGGGAAAATTGGAACACTAATACATTGTTGATGGAGTTGTGAAGTGATGCAACCATTTTGGAGAGCTATTTGGCACTATGCCCAAAGAAGTATAAAATTATGCATACCCTTTGACCTAGCATACTGCTTCTAGGTCTGTATCCCAAAGAGATCATAAAAACGGGAAAAGGACCTACATGTACAACAATATTTATAGCAGCTCTTTCTGTGGTGGCCAAGAATTGGAAATTGAGGGGATGCCCATCAATTGGGGAATGACTGTGGTATATGAATGTAATGGAATACTATTGTGCTATAAGAAATGATGAGCAGGCAGACTTCAAAAAAACCTGGAAAGACTTACATGAACTGATGCAGAGTGAAATGAGCAGAACCAGGAGAACATTGTATGCAGTAACAGCCACATTGTGGGACGACTACTTTGATAGACTTGGCTCTTCACAGCAATGCAAGAATCTAAGACAACTCCAAAAGATTCATGATGGAAATAGCTATCCACATCCAGAGAAAGAAACATGGGGTCTGAATGCAGATGGGAGCATGCTATTTGCGCTCCTCTTCCTTTGTTGTTTTGTTTTATTGCTTCATTCTCGTGGTTCCTCCCATTAGTTCTAATTGTTCTTTACATCATGACTAATGGGAAAATATGCTTAACATGAAAGTATAAGTAGAGCCTATATCAGATTTCATGCCATCTTGGGGGGAGGAGAGGAGTGGGAGGGGGAGAAAATTTAAAACTTAAAATCTTATGGAAGTAAATGTTGAAAACTAAAAATAAATTAATTATCAAAAAAAGTTCCCAGACACTCCCCCCTCCCTGAATCTATTAACAGATCCCTTAGGGGTCCACAGACCCAGGTTAAGAACTCTTGTTCTCATCTGTTGCCTGGTTTTTTAACCCCAGGAGGCCATACTCTCTTATGCAAGAGGTATGTTGATAAGACCTTAAATCCTTTTTCTCTGGGATGCTCTCAACCACCCTGGGAGGCAAGATGTATAGGTATTATTTTAAATGTGGGAAAACAAAGGGATAGGACATGACTCATCTAAGTTGGCATAGCTAGTGAGTGGTATAGTTAGGGACCTCCTGATTCCCATTCCTGGGAATTCTGATCTGGCTTCTCTGAAGATGTTTGATGGTAAGTTTTCCCTCTAGGGGAGTGGCAGATTCCTTTAGGAGATGTTGAGAGCTAGGGAGGCACTGAATTTGGATTCAGAAGACCTGGGTTAAAAACTGGCTTCTGTTTCTGAATGACCTTCCAGCCCTACAATATTATCCCCATTTTACAGGTGATGAGGCTGAAGGTCAGAGAGTGGAAATCACCTGCCAATGGTCACCCAGCCAGGAAGCTCCAAAGGCAGAGATTGAATTAATCTCTCTCCTGCCTCTAGGTCTAACCTCTTTCTACTAACCGGTAGCCAGCACAGTTCCTTGTCCACAGTAGGAGCTTAATAAATGGGGGGGGGAGGTATCAAATTCACTTAAACTCTGCCACCTCTTTCAAACGTGTGAGGCTGAGGTTTCTCACTCATAAAATCATTGCACTGGACTAGATCATCTCTGAGGTATCTCTCAGCTCTGACATTCAATCATATCCTGGAGACTTAGAGGAATGAATGAATCAATGACTAAGAAGGGTAAATGTAGGCATGGGGGGGCGGTGTAGGCACCTCTCAGTGTGCTCTCCAGTCTACCCACCATGGCTGTGGGGGGGGAGGGGATCTACCAGGTCAGGATTTGCCATGCTCTCTTGGCTTGCCTGGGAATGCTGTACCCTGGGCTCTAGGGCAAGGTTCTAGTGAGGGCTTAAGGCCCCAGGGTGGAGGGGGTGGAGTGGGGAAAACAGCTGCCCAACCAAGCTTTCAAGGTCCCTATAACCCAGAGGAGAAGAGCTGCCTTGTCCAGGGTGCTGATGCCCCCTGGTGGCTTGAGGTGTGTCGCTTTGCAGCTAACCTGGCTTTCCAGACCACTCGCTGCTGTCCCTGGCTCCTGCTCCCAGGCTCTAGGCCAGCTCCTCAGCCCCTAGAGCCCTCTGCTTCTCGGAAAGGCTCAGCAGCAGCTGGGCACCTTCCTTTCCTCCCTCCCCCAACCCTTTCCAGAACTGCTGAGGTCCCAGACACGTGGTCAGTGAGATTTCAATAGGCCACAGAGCCCTCCTGCAGCCAAATGGAGGAGCAGGCTCAGCAAAGGAGAGGCTTCCATCCAGGGGCCTAAACTGTAGGGGGTCTGCCAGCCTATCTCCCCCTCTCTATGTGGAATCAGATATCACCTTTCAAACAGATGAGCAGCTACTCCTGGGGATAGAATCAGAGTTTGTTCCAGATGGCCCTTAGAGCTCACCTAGTCCAAACCATTGCTGTATAGAGGAGCAGCTGAAGTCTCGAGAGGGATAGGGACTTAGCCAAGGTCACATAGCTCCAACCCGAGTCTCCTAGCTCCTAAACCAATACTGTTTCTACTACGATGCCATCTTACTTTGATGCACTGCAGCTCTCATCTCATTGCTAGAAATCCTATGACAATGAAGATATTCCCATGACCAAAGAAGATTCCCAAATCTCTACCGATGGCATCCTTGCAACCATACCTTGGCTTGTGCTGTTTTCCTCTCCTGGCATGCTCTCCTTACTGCCTTTACAAATTCTGTTCACCCTTTGAGATCCAGCTCAAGATGCGCCCTCCATGAGCTCCCTGGCCCATTTCAAGTTGTAGTTCAGCCATAGGACAATAGAGAGAATTTCTACCTGGAAGAGGACTTGGAGACTATCTGGTCCAGTCCCCCTCATTCTGCAGAAGAGGCAACTGAATTGGCATAGCCTGATCCCAGAGTGGCCCTGCATCATTCCTTGCACAGGAGGCTCAGTCCCACATTTTTGGCCTTTCATTGCATTGTTCCTTTTCCTCTTGCCCTCCTCCTATATTAGAGACAGGAGTTGGGAATGGAGCTGCTATTCCATGGGCACAAAGGGGACTCCTGGATGAGGAAAATCCCTCAACCAATGCAGGTTGGCATCTTTTCTATAAGGTACAGACACAGAGAGTTATCTGGAACACTAGAGGGTTAAATCATTTGACCAGAGTGGGACTTGAACCCAGGGCTTCCTAGATCATTAAGCAATCTGCTTCTTCAATAATAACAATAATGGCAGCAACAGCAACAATATGAATTGCTGAAAAGGTGCCAACCTTTAATGGGCTTTCATAACCCTGAATTTGGCATTACCTGCCCTTGAGGAAGACGTGCTCAGTCCATTTTTGTGATCACTACTTTTCTGGATGTTCATAACCATTCTTTTCACGATACATTTTAGAATTTCCCCAGGCATAGAGGTCAAGCATCCTGCCTTAGAGTTGCTAAGTCTATCCGCTCTTTGAGCCTTTTCTTCTCTGCAGAACCACAGAGTCACAGATTTACAGAGTCCATATGCCCCTCACAGGTCATTTGGTCCAGCTAATCAGCCCATATTCCATGTGAACTTCTCTCATTATTTTTCCTTACATCAAAGTTAATCTCCCTGTCTGCAAATCTACTTCTACCTCTAGCACCCTGCCCCCCCCCTTCCCCAAGGAGGAACTGGTATCAGTTGGAGACCCAGACTGATTTGGAGAATCAGAGACATGGAAGGGGAGAAGGAGCCACTTTCTGGAGATGGAGATGTAAAGGGGAAGACCAGCACAGCGGAGGACACAAAGTGCAAGAGTACTCCTGTATGGTGAGGATTGATATCACTGTGAGCCATGTGGCCCTAAGGGAAGGTAGAACCTACCTGAGGGTATTGGCTGAACCGCAGAGCACCCTGCCCCTTACTCCAGCTGAAGTCAGTGTAAGGGCCAGGTTGGCAAAGCTGAGAGCTCTCCTGACTCTTTATGGGCTCACAAGTAAGTCCTTTGCATTTGTGTTAAATAAAGCCTATTCTACATTCAATACGTTGTTAGCCTGAGTTCTTGCATGGACACTGGGGAGCCCTTTTAGATACATGAGCCGAGTTCTGGTCTTCCCAGGGGAAACCCTGAGAAGTGGTGTGAGCCATTACTGAGTTATTACTGAGAAATCTTCAAGATGGAAGTTGGCCCTTGTGAACCTCCATATGTGGTTCTGAGCCACAGGTTCCACTTTGAGCCAAGCAGAATGAGTCTAACCCTTCTTTCACATTCCCTACAAATTTTTCAAACCCCAAATAAACCTTTTTCTTGTCCTTAGGATTCTCCACCAAGCTCAGCTTGTTCTAGGTTTTAACATTCCTGCAGGTCTCCTTCTGGGGTCGGATTGTATTCTTGTATTCAGACTCAGTTATCTGCTATCCTCAGTAATGTTTATCTTTTATGCATGTTACTTAAAATACCGTGTATTGGTTAATGCATGCTTGCAGAAGTCCCTGGTCTCTACTGACAATCCCCTCTTTTTCTCCTCATTGGAATGATTTCTGCTTATGTCTTCAGAATCCCATAACTGAGTTCTATTTTTTAGAGCTTCCCACCCTTTCTGGGCTGACTCTACCTACCCCGCCCCCAGTATATGACACCATGGCATCCTACTTATCTTTTCTTAGACTTTTTAAAAATATCCTCTCTCCAAATCTAGGCTGCATATGGAATATACTATGCACATATGTAACAGGGTTTATAGCTATGCTTCAGATGGCCAGCCATGGCTCCCATAGCTTGGATTGCACTTGCTCACCCAGTCCAAGAGCAGCTGGGCCAGACATGGCACAGGGATGGGGCAGGGTGAGCATTGAAGAGTCTCCCCCTGTGCCTGGGTCTGCACTCACTCCATTCTCCCACTTCACTAGCAATGAGTAGGCATCATGGGTTAATCAAGTAAGGAAAGGCAGCAAGAAGAGGAATTGATGCCTTGGGTCTCAAATCTTCTCCCCTCCCCATGACTGGACATCGACCCTTTGGCAGGCTTTTTGTGGAAAAGCAGATTGTGGGGGCAGGGACATACTTGTAGCTCCGGGTGGAAATGTATTAGTTGAAGGGCTTACATTTCTAGGAAATTCTGGGTTTCTGAGCATGCCTGTAGACTGCCTGGGACTGAGGAGGGTTACTTGTACAACAGGTATTTTACAATTTTACAATTTTATTCTTCTTACTTCTGAGATAATGAGTAAAACACTATATATAGTCAAGCCACACTTATGTAGTCAACTCTGTTATGCTATGCTCACACAATTATGGTCCATTGAAAGCAGCATGAAAGGAGGAGGCCAGGATTTCCCAGTGGATGGGGGCTGAGACAAGATTTTATGAGCACTGCTGTCCAGAAAGGGGTGGAGCTGGAGACAGTAGTCACCATGCACCTAGGAACTATAGAAAGCTTGTCATTCCTCTTCAGCCTTCTCTGATATTGAGTATAGGACAAAACTGCTGGGGAGAATATGGCCCCCTGGATAAATGAAGTCAGGTAACTGGGCCACAGAGGTTTCCCTGGCCTTCCTATCAGGAACTCTATTATGGAGTAGCCACTCGTCTACCAGTTAGTTCTACTTTAGCAACCAATCAGTCCATCAACAAGTTTTTAAGCACCTCCTTTCACCAGGTACTTTGCCTGGAGATAAAAAGGCAAAAATTAAATACCATACATAAGCCAAACAAATATAAAGGGTTTGGGGGACAAGGAGGCATAGCAGCTAAGGGTGGATGGAAAGGTGGCACTAGCTTTGAGGGAAGCTAGTAATTCTAAGAGGTAGAAGTGAGAAGGGGAAGCATTCCAGGAGTGGGGGGTCAGCCAGTGCAAAGATAGTCTGGGAATGGCATGTCAGACATGAGGGACAGCAAGGAGGCCAGCTGGGTATGTGAGGGAAAGTAACGTGTAATAAACCCAGAAAAGCAGCCGTGAGTCAGGTCATGAATTCCTTATAAAGCAGCTTATATTTGATTCTGGAGACAATAGGGAGCCACTGCAATTTATCTGGTAAAAGAGTGACAGTGTCAGGCCTGTGCTTTTGGAAAATCATATTGGCATCTTGGAGGAGGATGGATTGGAGAGGGGAGAGACTTGAGGCAGGGACATCAGTGAGGAGGCTGTTACAATAGTCCAGCTGAAAGGGCTTTATTGCTCGCTATCAGGTCAGAAACAACCATTCTCTCAGTCACATTCCTCCATCTTGTCAGCTAGGTAGTACAGTGGCTAGCATTCAGGGTCAGGAAAATTGGAATTTGAATCTTGCCTCAGATGTTTAGCAGCTGTGTGACCATGGGCAAGTTACTTAATCTCTCTCAGCCTCAGTTTCCTCATCTGTAAAGTGGGGATAATAGCAGCATCTACCTTGCAGGGTTAATGTAATGATCTAATGAGATAATCCATGGAAAGCATGCTGCAAACCTTACAGCGTTCTATCAGCATAAGCTACTGTTGTGATGGATTGCCAAGGATGAAATGATTGCTAAGGAAGGCCTTCGTTTTTCCATCTGCTGCTTTGCTTTTGGCAGATAACACCAGCAGATGTCTTGATGGCAGAAGTCCTCCATCACTATGAGATCATGTTTCTGTGGCAGGTTTGTGGTCTTTTTCCTGAGCTCCTCGCCATCTCTTCCTTCCTTCCTTCCTTCTGTTCAGGTGCTGCGTGGCATCCTCTGCTGACAAAATCATGTCTATTCTGCCAGCCACTGATCCAGCGTTCATTAAATGCCCACTACGTTCCTATGGATTATTTGTGCCCGACTTGTGGTTGAGCCTTCTGAGCCCATGTTGGCCTGATCAGCCACAGTCAGACACGTTGTCATTGTCATTGACCCAGACATAGTGATGTCATTTTGGTCCTCTTCGAGAACGAAGGACAAAAGACTGCATGCCAGACTAAGTATTGGGATTCGAAGAACAGCCCGAATCCAGATGGAGCTTATATTCCAATGGCAGAGACAACACGGGAATGACTAGATAATAATGCAAGATATAGCCAGCGTAGATGGAAGGCTCTCTGAGGGGGGATCCTTAGAGATCCTTAGAGTCCAGTCATCGCATTTGACAGATGGACTTGCCCAAGGCCTCAGAGGTTCTAAGTGGCATGGTCAGGATTCAAACCCAAGTCTTCTGACTACAAGGCCAGTTTTCTATCCACTATGTTAAACTACCCAAACTCTTTAGGCTGGCATTCAGGGCCCATCACATCACAATGGGTCCCCCTAATCCACCTTTCTAGCCTTCTTCCTCACATGAACCCACTGCTCCACCCAGGCCAACTTCCTGACCATTTCTCCCACATGCCATGAACTTTCCTGCCTCCTCCCTTTGCCTCTGTTCTCCTTTACTGGATGCCTTCCCTATGTCTTCTTCATGCCCTACTTAGTCTTCAGGGTTTACCCCAAGATCTCCCTTCTTCACACAGCCCTCTTTAACCACCTCAGCCTAAAGCCTTTCCAGACTGGTAGCTATGACACTCAATGGCCAAACCACACGCTTTAACTTGATATTATCTTGTGTTGTTTACTGTTATATCATAAATCGTCATCTTCTTTTCCCAACAGACTATAAACTCCCAGAAGGCAGGGACTGGATCTCCTACTTCTCTGTATCCCTCTCCATGTTATCCTAACCAGGGAGCCTGAGCAATTGAGCTGGGAGAGCAGAAAGGCAGAAGCTGTTTGCCAGTATCTCTAATGGGGGTACTAGCCTTGCTCCTACTCTAAGGCTATTTGAAGGCAGCTTACAAAAGCTGAGCTTTTCAGTCACGTCAGACCCCATTTGGGGTTTTCTTGGCAAAGATACTGGAGTGGTTTGCCATTTCCTTCTCTGGCTCATTTTATAGATGAGGAAATGGAGGCAAACAGGGTGAAGTGACTTGCTGAGGGTTACACAGCTAGAAAGTGTCTGTGGTTGAATTATTTTTTTGGTGAGGCAATCGGGGTTAAGTGACTTGCCCAAAGGTCTCACAGCTAGGAAGTGTCAAGTGTCTGAGGCTGGATTTGAACTCAGGTTCCCCTGACTCCAGGGCCTGGACTCTATCACTGCAGGGCCACCTAGCTGCCCCTCAATGACGTGCTACCTCGTACTATTTATGCATATGCCATGTCCCCTTCGTACACTGTTAACTCTTTGATAGGAAGATCTGGTTCATCTCTATCTTTGTATCCCCAGCACTAACATTTTTGGGGGAAGAAAGGGATCTAGACCTCTTTAATCAGTGAGGAAATCTCTCAGGGTGGAAATTCTCTCAACTGATGAATACTATAGGCAACTCATGTTTAATTTATACCCTTAGATTCCCAGGAGTGGACTGAAGCCAGCTCTTACCAGCTCAGGAGAGCAGTGTTAAATTTTCAGCATTAGCATTTACACATCAGAAATTGTCAAACACTACAAATGATTTATTGCTTTGTTGATTTCTGGACTTAAGAAGGTGATGGATAAAATGTCAATAATGCAGATTATGTACCACATATACATTTGTTTTAGATATCCAGGTGGTAGACATTGACCAGTACACACCTGCCTTCGACAGTTGTCTGAGATACTGAGAGGTTAAGTAATTTGTCTTCCTGTGATCACAGAGCCAGTATGTGTCAGAGATGAGACCTGAACCCAGGCCTTCCAGGCTCTAAGGCTGGCCCTGTAACCACTCCCCAACACTGCCTCTCAAAGGTCCTTGTATATCATGGGTGGTTAATAAATGCTTATCGAACTGAACTGAAGACTGTTCCGAGTTCTGTGACAATGCTTCCTTGACAACACCTTTCAATCCCTCAAGCATCTGTAGCTGGCTTTCATAGCAGAGGAGCCCTGACACAAAACTCCTAGCTCTGGGCAGGCCACATCGTAGACATCCAATAAATATTTGATGAATTGAATTCAATTAATTGAATTGAATTAGTAAAGGTCCCAAGGAGCTTGGGGAATCTCCCAGAGCCTTCAAGCCCAGCACAAGAGCTCGGGCTCTCCAGAGAGATGGCACTACCTGGTTGCTATGATGAAATGTCTTTGTC